TCAAATTGAATATGGATCAAATTTAAAATTTCAAGGTACAAATGAAAAGGTAAACTGTAATGCACGGAGTTAAAACAAAGTTGGCTCAGATGATTAAATTTGAGATTTGTTTGAAGAAAAAGTATAGAGATGTTCTAATGGGACTAATTTTTGCTTTTCTGTTTGGTATGTCAGTTTATTACATTATTGAAGTTAACTGAAAACAGATGCACATTCTATAATCTAATATCTTATCACTAAAATAGACTTACAATCTAAATAAATGGCTAAAAAGATCTTGACATGATGTTTGGATGGTTTATTTAGTAAATTAAGGATGATTATTTTGAGTAAAGTCTTCAATTCTTGGGTTCAAATCTCTTAATCCAATATGTCTAAGTGAATAGTTTCTTATGTTACTAAACCTGGCTGACACCTCTTGTTTTGCTCAAGCTGCCATATGCTAAAGAAAATGATCTTGCAGCGTATCAACTAAATATGTTAATATAAAGTATACCTAAATTTAAATGAATGTTAATCGAGTTAGAATTAGTGTACAAATTGGTCACAGCTTTCAACTGCAACGTCTTAAATCCTTGGAATAAATTAACAGATTATGAGATGCAAAAGAGCCATTCCCTGTTTTGTAATCTAAAGTATTATGCATCAAAGAATTAAATTTTAATGAGTTCATGAGATTTACTAACTTTGACATAGCTGACCCAAGTAATTAACCATGGATTTGGTGGAGGATTACACCTTGGAGATTGAAAAAGAGAACATTCAACTTGTCCAATGGGACAAATTTTCCCTTGTTATGCATTTGGTTATGTTGGTTTTCTTACATCATTGATGTTAACCAAACCCAAAGGCATTTTTAATAATTTATGCATATAAAATAGAAATAAAACAAAGATGCACTCTCAGCAATAGATAAATAAATATGTAAATAAAAATGTATGATTATTGTACAAAAAATAATGCTGATATTGTGGTAGCATAAAATTTAGGATGACCTCTTGGTAACTACTGACTAGAGCTACAATCTAGCTTGTGCTGTCACATGTCTTGTCCTGATGCTTCCTCATGACTAGCATGACAAATGCAAAAAGGAGAAATTTGTCTGCATTAGCCTAATTAATTAAGTGGTTTGGCATGATTTGACTCTATCTACCAGAATTCTGCCTAATGGAAACCTAGGTATATGCCATTCGTTCACTGTTACTTCAATCTGGTTATAAACTAACAGAATGAGATTGCTGCAATTAGCAAATACAACAGGTTGGAAATTTACAGATAACTAACAACTCACATTTTTCAGAGGATGTGTACCAATTCGTTGGTCCCACAGTAGGGTTACAAATTCAAATTCTTTTATCTTCATATGGTGTAAAAATATTCTAACATATAATAGCAAATATAAATAAACAAAATTGAACTTATATGAATTAATCTGGGCTTTTAGAATATTGAAATTGATGCAGAGATCTGTAAGATTGTCAAAGAGGGTTTATGTTTATTGGAATTCCAGAATCCAAAATGCTAGAGAATGAAAATCTTCTACAAAAGATATGGAATGAAGCCATATTTAGAGATTTCTTGGAGGTGGAAAAGATTAAAAAGAAAAAAAAGGAATCAACATGGCATGATGTCGAGCTGTACAGGTACGAAACACAAGCAAAAACTATATTATGGAGTAGCAACCTCATTTTTGGAAAGGCTTCATCTAGTATATGAGCAGAAGGGATTTCCTTTTGTAGGCATCACAGACCATCTACAGAATTAGAATACTACTAGAACTAGATACGGCTACTTATCAATTTCCAAATTCCATTAAAAGAATACTTTACCAGCTAGTAAACCAGAAACATTGGAACTAGACATGGCAACTTCAAACTTCAGCAGTTAGTGCACCTGGAATATTGGATTGGCATTAAATCTGGATCATGATATGCAGTGAGTAAAGTTTCAAGAAACTCGGACATGGTAGGGTCATTCTGGTCTTCCCTATCTTTCTTTACAAAATACTTCGTAACACATAATTTTAGGTTATTTGGGTGATTCCTAGACAGGCATAGAAAGAATGGAAGCAAACCAAGACAACTGGAACAGAGAACATAATCACAGATTAAAATTTTAACAGATAGTATCTGAAACATGATAAGTCAGTAAGAAAGAACACATTCTCTATGCATAGTTTAACACCAGTTATAGGCAGAGCTCATTAGGCATCCAATGTCCCATGTAGATGACCCACAACCAACAGTCATGTCTTGCTTTGCTCACACCAAAATCATAATGGTCTTCTCTATCTGACAATAGCTAGGAGAGCAGCCAATTGAAATAAAATGCAAAAACTTAATTATGGTTCCTTAAAATTCCATACAAAATTGGAAAATCCATGTTCACTTTCTTGCTGAAGCTCAGCTAAAAATTTTCTTTTAACCATTTGAATAATTTCAAATTACTATTACAAATATCATGGATAATCCAAAATATCATAGAAAGTGGTGCAGTTTGTATTAACATTTTATGTTTCTTGATCTTTAGCATGCATTGAAATAGAAGATTCCAAAGGAAGTGAAACTTTTTTAGAAAACTGCCCATAGTCCAAACCATTTAGACCATCCAAGAATGTTTTCTTGCCAGTTACAACTATTGATACTCGTACAGAAGCTATTCCAATATAATCAGATTCAAGGCCTCTTATTTGAAAACCAATGCCGTTCTCATTTTCCTTGCAGACAAATAAAGAGAATCAATGTGTTGTCAGGTTAGGAAAATCACATAGAAGTATGCAAAGGAATGTGAAGATGGTATGATGTTAAAAAACCATGGGGCCATCTGCAAAGACTGCAATAAAAACTGACTATAAGAGAGTATAAAAGGAAAGCAATACTTCTATTTTATGAATGCAAAATTAAGTAACAGATAAAAAAAGAGCTATAAACCAACACAGAAAATATGAACATCCAAGTAATGTCAGTCCACCTGGCTGACCTGTATCACAGGGATGAAGCAGCAGCTAAAACTGAGATATTCATATGGTGGGATGGCCATTACCAGTTTAAACCAACTGCCTGACATTTGAAATGCTGAAAGTATCCAGAGATTTGTTTGGAAAACGTGAAAAATCTAATCAACAGTGAGTTGATTTCCCAAATAAGAAACTGGAAAAAGAACAAAGAAGGATCCCAATTACACCATGTAAGGTAAACATTCTCAAGCCGCATAAAGGGTGAAAATATAACACCTGCAACAAAACTTTCAGAAACAATATTCCCTCTACTCTGAGTGTGAATAATAGGAAACAGAGATCGAAATTGATACCGACCGAAGTTAAAAGGCCGAGAGAATCATCCTTTTTTTTTTTCTCAGAAGCGCACTTCAAAGTTCTCACACCTCAACAGCTCTACTAAAATATCGAAATCCGAAAGCTTTCGGGACTTCGGAGAGAGAAGGAAACAAGAGGGAGCGGAAACAGCGGGGAGCTGTGTAAAGAAGTAAACCTTTTTGAAACGAAATGATGAGGGCTTTACTGGAAGTAACCGACATTTTCTGAATCGGCGATAATCACCTTCAGTGATTCCGGCGGGGATGACGGGCGCCCGGGAATTTGCGGGATCCGCGAAGGAAATGCACGGCACCCGACCCGAATTTAGACATTTAGAGTACCTAAAAGGTTAAATCCCCATTTTGGTCCCTGAACTATTGTACGAACTCCTGATTTGGTCCCTGAATTAAAGAAATCCCTGATTTGGTCCTTAAACTATTGTACGGACCTCGATTTGGTCCCCACTGTTTATAATTTGGTCTAAGTTGGTCCTTGAACTGTTGTACGGACCCCAATTTGGTCCTTACTGTTTACAATTTTGCCCAGATTTGGTCCCTGAGCTATTATTTAATAGAAAGACCAAGTTGGGGTTAAATTGGTAAACAATAGGGACCAAATTGGGCATCATATAATAGTTTAGGGACTAACTTGGGAGTCTGTACAATAGTTTAGGATTAACTCAGGGTCCGTACAATAGTTCAAGGATCAAATTAGGGATTTCTTTAGTTCATGGACCAAATCGAAAGTTCGTACAATAATTCAGGGACCAAAATAACGGTTTCACCTACCTAAAAGGGCTCTTATACTCCTTTTTAAGATACTTCTAATCAATCTAATTAAGTTCTTTATATTTTATGGAAAATGTTACATCATTTGTAATGTCATCTAATATTATATATTTATAATATAATATATTATTAATTATAAATTTATAATTATATATATTATTATAACTATAATATTTTGATATTTTATATTCATCCAATCATTTGATTTCTATCAAACATTAAAAATTATGTTAATAATTTAAATAATTTAATTATAATTTTCTTTTTTAAAAAATTTTAAATTCAAGCATCCATGCAAGGGATGGATGGTTTGGCTTGTTCAGGAAAAAAAAAATCTCGTTTCATTTGTTTCATTAGGTAGCGAAACGCCATTTGGTTGAATTGTCCGAAACGTTTTTGGGAACTGTAAACAAATTCAGTTTGTAGAATCCTCGAAATGAGAACTCAAAATGCCCAAAAAAAAGCCCAAGCTAATTCCCAACGTCCTCTACTCCCATGTGAAACCCAATCTCCAGCTCACCCTTCTAGGCATTTGATCCCAATTTTCCCAAATTTCCAATCCTAACATTGGGATCCTCAACTTGGTACGCAAGTTCCTCTCTGGATTCATCAATTCAATGCTTGATTTCACGCTTTTCTGTCGTTCAAATCAACCCAGTTTTGATGTCGCTCGATGCGTGATCTTTGATTGTGTTCATTGCTCCTCTTATTCAATTTGAGAGTTTCTGAGTCTTAATGGAAGTTGGCTTAGATCTGACTTCTTCCACATGAAATTTGTTGTTCAATTTGAATGAGTTGCAGGTAATGCCTATCTAAGAAAGTTTCTTTGATTATTGGTCTTGCAAGTCATTTAAATGACAATAATGGATAATTGAATTGTTATTTGGTAGTTATTTTCAGAAACCTACCCCCAATAGATAAATTTATGGCAGAACTTGTGAAATTACCAATTGAATGCTAACATATTTTGGTTGCATTGTTGTTAACCGCTTTATAAAACTCATGAGGAGAAGTACTTGCTAGGTCTACAAAGAATTCAAGGTCTACAAAGAATTCAAGGGCCACAATTTGTGCTTTTAGACCTTTGTGCTGCATTCCTTGCATAGATCCAAGTTCTTTGAAATGAGGGAGAGGTCTCTATTCTTTCAAGAGAACCGTTTTCTACTTGAAATTTAAATTTCAATGGTGCATGTTCATTAAGATTCATTCATAAATACGATGTATTATATTGTATATATCTTATTTAGTATGATTTGATCACCATTACTTTCATGGTATCCCTTCGATTTTTAAATATGTATTTGATTTTTTTGAGCTTTTTTAATTTTTTATTAAAAAAAAGAGTGAAAAAAGAAGAAGGAAAGTATAGGTTTAACACCTAAGTTAGATTATTATCATCATTCAAATTGTTAAGGCGAATAATTTATCTATAATTTTGTTTGTTCATAATTTTTTCTTAAATTATTAGTATGATATTTAGCAATATTTATTGTTAGATTATTATCATCATTCAAGTTGTTAAGATTA